TATCTTTTGTGTTTAGCATTATCATTCGTAGCATGTATCATATTGTCCTTTAGTTGAATGAAATATTTCTATCTCATTCTGTTCATCTCTATCAATACGTGCTCAATTGGCATCTTTAAAATATAGATTGACTATGGTGATAATAATTGATGCATGTATAGTGATTAATATGGAATTTATCGTTATATTCTAAGGAAAAAAAAAATCTTTTTTCTCGTTACCTTTTTTTTTTTGCCATGATCACACGAATAAACACTTATTCCAAGTTACTTTTTGTCGTCATCTTTGAGTGAACAGAAGAAAACCGTTAAGTGGCATCCGACATAAGTGTTCTCTACTCAAGAAAAGTAGACAGGCAGTTAGAAAAATAAAACACTAGCTCATTCATATTGATAGATGATGAGAAGAAAACGAAAGAGAGAACAAATCGATTAGTTGAGTGGAACATGCATTAGCTTTTTGATCATCTCATGGGGCGGGAAGCAACTGGTTCAAGAAAAAAAAAGGAAAGAACTCTATCAACTTGATGTTTCTTTTAAACGTTCAAATGTATTCTTGATAGCAACCATGAATGAACGTGTACGTATAGGTATATTTTCATCACTTGTTGATGAAAGTGATGAATTCGATGAATTTATAGAAATTGATGATAATAAATCTCGTTGTTGAATAAATTCATCTTGTTGTTTAATTAATGATGGTGTAATAATTTGATGACAATAATAATCTTGATATTTATTATCAAATGAATATTTACGTTTTAATGGTGCAAGAGATAATTCTTGAACGAATGATGATGTTGGTGAAAGAATATTATTTGCTATGATTTGTTCTGAATGTGATGTCATTTGAAGAGATGATAAATGTTGATCAGCAACTACTGACATGTATATGAAAAAAAAAACTATTAAAATAGAGTACATCCATCGATATCAAACTACTTTTGTGGGAAAAAAAACCATTTTTATAGAATTTTTTGTGTTGATTAAATGGAAAATAGGTTTGGCTAAAGAAAAATGTGTAACTTCTAGCTGAAATACTAAAGATTCGGGTCATTTTCTAGATTCTTACAATGTTTAAAGATCATATTTTACGCCAAAAACGAAGGCCAATAGATTAGCACAATCTTCAAAGTCCTCTTGATTTTAATATATTTATACAAAAATCCGTGCGCCTTAAAAATTTTATATCTCGGCTACAATACATTGAAAACAAGAGTCCTTTGAAGTCTGTGCTAATCGTGTGGTCTCCTATCTTTGAGTAAAATATAAGTTTTAAACATTGTTAATCCGCTTTCCATCTAATCAGCACAAAACATTCGATAAAAAGAAAAAATTTTCCTCAAAAATGGTTAGATATCCATGGATAATTTACCCAATCAAATTTTAGACTTTATTAAATTTTCTTCTCATCTTCGACAGTCAACATCTTAATGGAATCACTCATTCAAATATTGTAGATTCACATACAAAAAGAAAAAAAAAAAACAAGATTTGATCTATAGAATGACTTCCAAACTACAATGAAGTAAGAAGTAGGAGCGTGACATTCCTTCACTGCTTCTAAAATCCATTCACACAATGCTTCTCTCTGCTTTTGAAAATTGTCTACGAAGTGCTTCCTCGCCGACGCCTTTGGTATTGAGTTACATTGGTTTTGACAATTCGAACATCATTTGATAAATAACTATTAAAAGGTTGGCTTTTACAGACTCACGATAACAATATTTAATCGGAAACGACTAGTACTCTTCAAAGAAGAAGTACATTAAAGATTAAATAGATCACAGTATAGCCGCAAGGCATGTTTGAAGTTCTTAATAGTCTTTGCTAATAAAATTATTATGACATTCTATGTCAAAGTCTGCTCATAATTATACAATATTTAATTCAACATTGATATCTATTTTTGTTTTTCTATTTTTAAAAGAGTTATTCCAATTCATTATACCTTCTTGTTTATCGATGATCAAATCCGATTGATAAATTCGAATCATATTTTCAACTTTTTGTTTGATATTTATTGTTTGAAATAAATTTATAATACATTCAAAATCATTTTTATTTTGAATATTTAATTTTTTATATATTAATTCAAATAAATAAAATTTTAATTGTTCATTATTATTTGTACATTGATTAGATAAATAAATATAATCATCAATATTAATTTTATTTGTTAAATTATTTATATTTAAAAGAAGAAATTGTAAAATATTAAAACGTATTTGATCTTTTTTAGAAAATAAATTAATTATATTTCGTATATCTAACCAATTAAGATTATAATTAGTTAATTTATTTCGAAGTGTTTGTAATAATTGTAAACGTTGTTCATCATTTGACATTCGAGCAAGTATCGTTAAAAGCATAATATTAATCTTAGATATCAAAACGAAAAATATTTACCCGCACAACTTTCTTTTTTGTTTCTCTTTAACAAAATAAATCTATTCATGGTTCGATTGTTATTATTAGGTTTTTTTTTTTTGATCGATATCAATCAATCAAATTGATTGTATGTTAAAATATTTTAATTTGCATTTATTGTCATCATAATGTGACGAGCGTAAGCGCGCATGATTTTGTTTGATGAACAGCAATATTTTTAATGAACTGCTCATTAGAATTTTTTTTTTCTTGTCTATGCACAGCAAGTCAAAACTTTCATCTTTCTTATTTTTTATTGTATTAAATTAGAAAAAAAAAACGATATATGATTATTTGATATTCATCTTTGGAGCAGTTGGTAAATGATAAGTTTGTAAATCAACAGGTGTTCTAAAAAGTGAATATTAATGATTGAAAAGAAAATTTTCTTTTATACCTTGCTATATTTGCTGATGGTGATCGAGGATCAATAACAGTAGTAGATTGTGGTGGTGGTGGTGGTGGTGGTGATGGTGGTGTTGTTTCAATCGTATGAATTGGTGGAACTGGATTGAGATTTTTCAAACGACGTTGAATACTATTCATGATTCTGTTTTCAATATTAAAATGATTTGTTAGGTTTAAATATTCGACTGTCTTTCTTTTCTTTTTTTTTTATTAACAGACACCTACTTGTAGTAGACAGCCACGTATTCTGTTTCTTTTCTTTTGTTTTTTAGTTAATATTTATAATAAGTAGGCGTCCATTTACTAATGGAATAGGTCTCGCTGTATTTGATAACGCGTGCGTGCTTGGTTTACATATTTATTCATGACTTGCTTCTCGAGTTCTTCCTTTTTTCTTGTTAACAGCAAAAAAAAAGCCTTACGGCTACTACTCACCATATTAATGTATTGACTTGACAAGCGAACGTTACTCTTCTCTTTTCTTTTTTGAAGCGGAAAAAATTTGTGATGCATACCGCTCTAGTAGTAGTGGCATAATCACAGCTTGATTTGATTTTCAAACGTCTTTACTATACACGTGTCGAAAACGTTACTTCTCTTTTCGTTAAGTGTGTTTAGACTAGAAATAAACAGATGCATAAAAAAGAATAACAAAAATTTTTTTTTTTTGTTACCGAGAAAAGATCTATTACATCAGAACAATAATAAAATATTATTATGATCGCTTGAACATATCCATCATCATTATCATGAGTGACTGCTCGTGGCATATTGTCAACATACCTGTAAATGGATGTATCAATTACACCATCATCATATGAGTGGGTGGAGAAAGCTTGTGAAAAGCACATCTGTTTCGAGAATGTGAATAGCGTTAGCAACAACAATAACAAGCAGAGTGTCAAAAAAAAAAAAAAAGATATATATATATATATATTCAAATTCGACGTTCTATACTTAACATTCATTCTTACCAAATATTATAACATTGTAGTTTACACTATGTAATCTTCAAACATTCAAAAAGAGATTTAATAGTATTTCCGACATTTAATCTAATCCATTCAATTGTTTCTAGTGAAAGATGAAACACTTATGATAAACGGTAGTTTTTGGCATGATTTAAATGTCTTTATACTTAGAAAAAATTGATTGCCATAGATTTTTCAGACAGTTATTGTCCTTGTCTTTGTATATTTATTTAAAATTTTGTTAGTTATCAGCGTTTTTAAATACTATGACAAATAGTCGTATATAAATAAATGTGTAATTCAAATCATGATTGTTTACTATCCAAAATGATACTAAATTATTTTTCGATACTTCGCAGATTACACAGACTCATCATATTTCTATAAGCTTTTTCAAAGAACAAAAACAAGTACATCTGATACTTTTGTATTTTCAAAGTATCAAACTACATTGTTCAACTATGATTTATTATTCACAAGCAATATTCTATCATATAACGATTTAAACTTTATCCTCGCAAGATTCATAAATATCGAATAATAACTTCTAAAAAAAGAATGAGATGTTCTTTTTTTTTCTTATTTTATTTATTTAAATGATTATCTTCTATAATCATTATACTACTACAATGTACAAAGAAAAATTTCATATGTTTGATCGTTGTTCTATGTTTACTGAGCCTAGGGGATTGAATTATACTGTATGCCGATCAAACAAACTCGGCAACACTGTCTATCCTAATAAGGGTACTATAATGTGCGAAATGATGCTGCTGTTCTTACACGCTTCAGTGATGATCATAGAACGAAAGAGATTTATTTTTCGTTTCGCTTCATAGCCAATAGATATTTGTTTTCTGCTCTATGAGAGCAAAAAAATAAAAAATAAAAATTGAACCAATCCAATCGAAAGAGAAAAAAGAAAAAAAAAAGAACAGGAAATATTTTATCGTTACTCTTTAAATATAATCAATAAAAATTTTTCAACTAGCAACACATACAAACAACTTGTACATTGTTCAATGTAAGTTTTCTAAATCAAAATTTTTTTCATATATATTTGAATTCTCATTAGAATTTTTAATAATTAAATGATTGATTTTATTTCTATCACTTTAATCAACCATGCTTGTTCTCGGCATGAGATCCGCATATATATACATGTTGATAGACTAGACCTCCTATGTAGTTTTGTCAACTGGCAATGACAAGTACAGTACATCATCACCTGGCACCATGTGATGCGCGTTTTGCCGAACTGTTTGAAGATAGAATCCAGCTGTGCGATTTCTTCTTCTTTTTTTTCTAGTCTCATCTTTCTCTTTTCTGTAATCATAATAATAGACATCGTGTCATTGAAAACTATTGATATGTAATCTAATGGATATAAAGATCAGATTTTAAATTAACGGATAAAAGAAATTTTTTTATATTGTATTTTTGTATAGACGACCAATACACTATTATTATTGTTATTATTAATATCAACAATGTCAAATGATCGTCAACGAATACGTCAAATAAAATATCATATTAATCAATTATTATCTGAATTACGTATGATTGAATCAAATAATGATATTATTCAACCATTAAATATATCAATTAATTCACAATTAACAACAATATCACATGAAGAAAATTTTTGTCCATATTTATCATGTAAACAAAAACCAGTTATATTACATTCAACAACAAATGATGAATGTCGAAAAAAATCAAAAAAATTTTTATTTGCTGCATCAGCACGAGCAACAAGTACACCAAAAAATTCTCCAAATCATAATAGAATTAAACTTAAACCTCATCATACATCAACACCAAGACGTACTAAACGCCATTCAACTGCTTTAGCTATACCACCAAATAATAATAATATTATTCCATTGAAACGTCTTCTATATAATAAAGATTATGATCAACATAAACGTCGACATTCAGCTGTACCTTTTTCTAAACGTTCAATTCTTCCACGTTTACATCCAATTGATGAAAATCCACAATGGATTTGAATTGTTTGTTTGTTTTTTATTTTTCTATGTACAATTTAATCTATTTTTTGTTTGTTATAAAAAATAAAATGTATTAACATTGACTTGTTTTGATGTTTAGAAAGAAAACAACATGGATATATTATATAGATAGATTTCTTTTTATCAATGAATATGTGTGACGAATATTCATTCTTTGATGAAATTATAAGGAGAAAAAAGAAAATAGAAATCTGAAACATTTTCAACATTGTGAAATTTTGTTCTCTGATATCAATTTTTACAAATGTGAAAAATTTATTCTTACATAAACTAGGATCTGTTTCTTTTTGTATAATTATTGATGTGATGAGTGTGTTATGTGAATGTTCGAAATGCATTGATTTTTACAATAAATTACAGATAACAATAATTAAAACTCAAAACATTTTTAATGTGTCAATCTGATTCATGAATAAGAAGATTGATTGTCTTTAATGTAGGTTTCTTGTGATTACAACTATATCTCATATTTTTCTTTTGCATTTGATACTGTTATGGATTATTATGGTGATGAATTTCTAACGAAAAACTTCAATTATTCGAATCTACTAGTGATTAAAATAACATTGCAATAACTAACAGATTTAAGTATGATATGAACAAGATTTTCATACTAGATTACTTTTTCTTGTTTATGGAAAAAGTATATTTTTTTTTTTGTAGGCTATAATATGAGTTAACGGTATCTGAATGGACAATGGGACTCCTTCCAACTTTCTACTATTGTTTGCTTCATAAATTAAAGAATGTGCTCGTCTAGAGTGTTACTAGAAGATCTATCCTATTGTTTCCTTTTATGCACATATTTGTATAATATTTTTTTAATTTGTATTCGAGGTTTAGCATTAATAATCTTGTTTTTTATATAAGGAAGGTTTCTAAAAAGAAAATTCGAATTTTTTTACTTTTCTTTATTTCATTTATCAATAAATAGAAGAAGAATTATTTAATGAAGGTTTTTTTGTTCGACAACAAGATCATACGCCATCAACAAAGCTATCTGTGTCATTTAGTAGTGATTGATTTCTGAAGAACTTTGTTGACAATCGATTGTTTAATTATTTGTGTGATTCATTATTCATTATCCAATGAGTTCACAAATATCATGAACAATATTAGCTATTCAAAGAAAATAATAATTAACTTTTTATGCTATGCTCATTTTAATTATCTCGAAAGGCGAGATAAAAACTTGTTTTTGTTTTTGTGTAGCTATCTGTGACTAAACGAAACATTGTTTGGAGGATGGAAGAAAGAATTTGATCGATTCCATCTTGGTATTTTCATTCTCAAAGTTATTGCAATCGACAACACAAACTTTCAATAGGAAGAGACAGATATTTTAAGCAAGAGAAAAAGAAAAAACATTTATGATTGTTCACATAAATGCTACGTTTCGCACCGCATAAAAAACTATCATGTAAAATAACATTGCCTTAGCTCAAAGTCTCATTTCATATAAAACAATTAGAAGTCCTTTACTTGATCGACTATTTAAGCATAAAATAAAATTTCTTGTAAAATGCTTTAGGTAAATATCAATATCTGAAAATAATAAAACGCTAAGTAAATCATTGAGATAATCAACATTGAAAAGTAGAGACTTTTATCAAATATTTTCACACAATTCTGGTCTAGCAATCATTGTAACGATCCGATAACGATTGATCAAGTTTCTTCTCCGAAATAATTCGTCCAACAATGCCAAAGGTTAGAAAAAGACCTTCGTTGAACGCATTACTTTGAGTGAAAGAGATGGTGAGAGAAGATTCCACATAATATATCTCAAATTTATGCAAGGAATAAAAATATTGTGAACACACCATCAATGAACTGTTCTTCTTCTTGTCATACAAAAGATGAACGTCGAATTGTGTCAAAAAGAGATTTATTCGGAAAATGATGAGAATGGTTTTCATTTTCTGCATTACGTACCATTCTAATCCATCGTCGCAACAATTATTCCTATGCATCACACAAGGCAATGGAAAGATATTCCTAGAGTAGAGAGGATGTTAGTTTTCATTCTGCAGTAATCTAAATCAGAAGTGAAAATTGTTACTGTGAACGGAAATCAACATAAGACATAACATTCTCATTCTGATTGTTGCGATTTTAGCTGAGTAGAACGGTG